ACTCTGCATTGCTAGTGCTTTATCTTGCCGCTACACTTGTTTCATGGACAACACTGCTAGGTCCTCTGCTCTACTTCCCAACCCATTGTATATATCAAACTACAGCAGCTGGCTCTTCTTATCGATGCAGATATGTGGGTGCATTGCTCTGGGGACATCTCTTATTCTCTTACATGCATGAAGTAGCCATGCTCGGCCACCAGACATCCTCTGTGTCAACAGTGAATCCTGAATCAGCAAGCTCCTTCGAAATTGCAGATCTCCTGATGGTTCCGCTGGACATGCACGGAATACACGCTTATAACCTGTATCTTTAAAATTTTGAACAAATTTTTGATGTGCCTGATGCAGCCTGCCAAATCGAGGCATGACACTTTTGTTCCTGGAAGGTTTGCCCTGACATAACTAAGCCATTTTCAGGGCGCACACGTCATGACGCGCGACACACATCTCGTGAGCTGGAAATGGGCTAACCCTGCTCGCATATAAAAAGCCAAAGAATTTTGTTGAATCACCAGCTCAGTTTTGTTCTCTCATCCTCAGTCACAGTTCTGCATTGTCCAAGTCGGTGATTGTCCTTCTGAATGAATAATGGGTGTTGCATCCAGCAGTCATCAGCTGCAGGACCTACCATTACGGTTTTCTACTGCCCCCACCATATACCAATTTCATCAATACAACTTTGATGCTAGTACTAGTAATAAGAGTTGCCTGCCCGCAGAGCTGCGCGTCCACAGTGCCTACAGTCAGTCGGTCACGGAGGGTGGGCTGGCTCTCATACTCACTTGACCTTAGTTTCTCCCCGGGTGCCAACATTTAACTAAACTCCCAGCTTCAGTCATTCTTATGCATTCATGGTGGCACTATGGATAGGCTCCTAACATACAGCATCCGTTTCTTATGGCGGTAGGCCATGTCTCGGATTTCACTGAGGCTTATGATGGTCAGACTGGTTTGACTTGAGTGTTCAAGAGTTTGTTCGCAGCTCTCATTGGATGTTGGTTGTATAGGTCACTAAATGTCCTTCTGTGTGTACGTATGATGTGCCATGCATGGTTACCACAGTCCTAGTCAGGGTCCGAATATCTGACAGCTTGACATTCATCGCACGAATGAAGGTAAGTACATCATTGATTTGCAGTGTATATATACATTTATATATTGCGGCACGACATTGTGTCTAGAACATCTGTTGCATGTACGAGTTTATCCTCCGCACCTCTTCTTGGAGCAGCTTTCGTGGTGTTTAATCCTGTCTATCAAGTTTGCACTCAAGGGAGATGTTTTTGCGGCTCCTATTGCAGTTCTTATAGCTCTTTCAATTGTATCTTGGCCCCCCATGATCTTCAGTAGCCCTGCACATGGTATGTCAGCCTTTTCTATTGTATAAAAGCCCTTCAGTGATGTCTCAGCGCTTTATGAGAGTGTTCAGTGGTTGTGATTGTACGAGACTCATTAATGTAGTTGAATAACAGTGTCTGTCTTTCATGTCTCCAAAATTGTATGCACATGCCATTAGCCAAATATTTTTGGAAGCATTTTAACATACAGCTGGAGAATATTGAGGGTATTAGACCCCTTATGGAACATCTCAAAGCTGGAATCTATAGCACTAAAAATAACCGGAGTGAAAACGCAGGTATGGGCCTTGTTATTATTATTATTATGGCTCCATTAACGTCCATCGGGGTTGGTCACCCCATGTCGGACAATACACACATGTAACTACTAAACAAATGAAAAGGGGCCCATTGCCCAATCCCACTCAGCTCCCAAGGGTTCCAGGTTTGGCATTGTACAGCCCCCCCTGGTCAGCCTGTTTCCGACGGGTCCCTCAGGCCACCATGGAGAAAGTGGGATTTATCTATGAAGAGGCTTCAAACATGATAAAGGAGGGTGTCGTGGACATGTCTCCAGAGGGTGGTAAGCTGGTTCTGGCTGTAGCCCGCTACACCTTATGCACGCTTTCATGAACATGAGGCGCGCTATGCATGATGTCAATGCATGACTTTCACGGACAGGATCCAGGTGGCAGCTTGGTTGGAGCCTCTTTTGGGTGAATGGTAAAGCCTTTGCTGCGCTCCTTATGCTAGCTGCGATCTTGGCGGCGCTTCAGTACATGCTGGCGCTGTTTGTCGAGCACGTCATCAGCTACTTGGAGTCAGACCCGCAAAGGACGGATAGGTGCTGGGGCTGGATGTATGCTCTGGGAATGACAGTTGCGAGCTTTTTGCATGTTCTAGGTACACAATTATGTGTTGGGTCAACTTGAATCAATGATGGACGTTGTCTGCGCAGCTTCAAACCAAGTCGCGTATCTTAGCTTGTCTGTCCTCCAGAGCTGGCTGCGCCTTCAGCTCAACACCATCCTCTTTCATAAGACGCTCATGAGGAAGGACCTCGCCTCATATAGTGCAGCCTCAGGCACAGAAGAAGGAAACAGCGAAGATACACAAACTGGGAAAGCTGAAGTTATGACTCTCATGACGAGTGACACGGACCCGATCGGCAGATGTGCTCAGAACATTTATTCATTTGTAGGTAAGCTAAGTTCTTATTTTGCTCATATCATCTCCGTGCTTATTGTTGCATGTCAATGCGCGGTAGACGTACCTACCCAAATCATTGTTGCCATGCTCATTCTCTACAATATCTTGGGTAAGTAGTATATGCATCTGCCTCGAGTCGTCCTTCAACACTCAGCCCATGCAGTAGACCCATGCTCGCGGGCATCAGTCCACCGGACAGTTGCTACCTGGAGGTACATTGGGCCACCAGATCATCAGGTGATGGGGCAATGTGCTTTGGGTGACCTGATGGGGTTGAAAAGGGCCACCCGTGACTAATATAATGTGCGCATACAGCTTACAATGTAGTTATCAAAAGTAATAGAGAAGGCGGATGGTGATCCGAGGTTGGTCATCGTGCGGGCGGATGTCCAGTCACTGAGAGTGAGTACGTCCCTCGGGTCAGCTGGTGGATGGTAGATTGGTTGAGCGAGGGAGGGCATTGGGAAAGCTGATGCTGTCAATGCATCCGTCGTGTCCATGAGGGCAAGGGGCCCGGGCATGGAGTCAGCTGGGGTCTGAGCCCTGCTTAGGTGGGATGGGCACCGAGCCGCATGATGGGGCCAAGGGTGGTAATGGGGCAGATGTTGGTGACAACAAGGAGTTGAGGCGAGGATGAATTGAGCGAGGGCATCGAAGGAGCTGGGGGGAGTAAATGCACTATTGGGGTGGATGAGTAGTCCCACAGAAAGGCAAGGGGCGGGGGTGTTGAGTCACCTGGCACAGAGAGGGAGTGTGCCAGCAGTGGACTGCCACGGATGGGCATGTATGTAGGCAGATGGCAAGTGGGGGCATCAAGTCAGCTGGTATGGGCCTTGATAACAGTGAGCTGCACCAGGATTTGTGGGGGTGTCAGCGGACAAGGGTTGCTGGTGGACAAGCAATCTTGGCAGACAGGCGGTGATGACAGATGAGCATTTCTGGCAGATGAGGATTCCTGGTGGATGGGGATTCCTGGCAGATGACTGTTGCTGACAGATGAGTGTTGTTGGCAGGTGAGCATTATTGGCGGACATGCATTGCTGGGGAATGGAAAGTGATGGCAGATGAGAGTTGTTGGCGGATGAGCATTGCAGGCGGATGAGCATGTCTGGCAGATGAACATTATTAGCAGATGAGCATTTATCTGGCAGATCTGCCATCCACCCACTTGACCTCAGCATCCGCCTTGTGCAGGTGCTTCAAATTTATGTATAACAGCGCGGATGTCTATTTGCACGTCAGTTTCCTAAATATTGAATAGTCTATGTGTCAGCCATGGTTGTATAGACCATTGTATTCTTTTAGCCGGCGGATCCGCCATCCGCCCATTTGGCCTCAGCATCCGTAGCATCCGCCTTGTGCAGGTGCTTCAAATCTATACATAACAGTGTGGATATCCATCTTCACATCAATTTCCTAAATATTGAATAGTCTACATGTCATCTACCTTTGTGTGAACCATTTTACTCCCTTATTTGGCGGATCTGCCATCCGCTCACCTGGTCTCAGTGTCTGTAGCATCCGCTTTGTGCAGGTGCATCAAAATCTACGCCTGACCAGAGACTTAGCCACTTTTCAGGGTTCAGAGGTGTTCAGCTGGCTGTGCTGCAGTAGTTGTTATCCCCAACATGTGTTTCCTGCACCATTAGTACACTTCTGCACATGGCCGCCGCATCCCCATGTGTGCCTGACGCTGTTTGCCACGGTATCAAACACCCTCTTCCCCCTCTTGTCACTGTCCCTATTGATGTTGACAAGATCTCAGTCATTTCCTTACCAAATTGTACCAATCTTTTCCCAGTAGTTTTCATATGTTATTTAGAGTAGTTCTTTACTACTTTAGCAAGAAATAAGCCTGGTTATCCCTCCCTTTATGGGTATGTTCCTGACATACTGTATAGCAATCTTTTGAATATTGGTATGGTTTCTGGACATTCTCGGGCCCTTCTGAGCATGCAGGATAGTTTATATAATGTATATAGCCAGTTCATACCGCTCAAAAATGGGTGGCAATCGAGATGTTGAGTGTGAGAATAACTCAGGGGCTATTGTTTCTGACATATTCAAGAGGGTAAATCAAGCGGTATAGTTTGCTGATCCTTGGTCCTGGTATTCTTCTATTACATTTGGTATATGTCAGGAAGCCTTGTCTTACTTATCATGTACTTATACAGCGATCTGTGTGTTATCAGCAGAGTTAGGAGGTTTAGGAGGTTAGTTTGACATATAGATCGCTGCTGCATGTGGGATCCTCTTGATATATAATGGCTGTGGATCTTATCTACTATGCTATACACCACTAAACCCGCTTTACTGTAACATTAGAATGGAGACATGGTGTTTTACTTTCACAAAAACATCAAAAAAGCGTAAAATGACATAAAACCCTATGTTATTTTGGATATCCCATGTCATCCATTCCTCATAACATGGCCACAAGATAGAGCTGGTATGACCCCTAGAGCCACCAAGTTCACGCTCAATGATCCGTCGTTCACACTTCCGAATGGCGGGCTATCGCTTATTTGCGGTAAGCTCGGGAGTGGGAAAACTCTGCTCTTGCTTGGGCTGCTCAGCGAGGCAGACGTTACGTCGGGACAGGTCCTGTGTCCGCGTTCACACCCAGATTAATTAGCATCACTCAGCATCCAGCGGATTATCAAGAAGGAAGATTGGATCGTAAAGGGCGTGGCGTCTGCGCATATGTACCGCAGGTATGTAAATCCTTCTACATCACGCCGTGTCCCCGTTCAGTACTTGATGTGTGCTGAAACTATATTTTAGGTGGCCTGGCTCCGTAACGCTTCACTGAAAGGTTGGGTTTTCTTGGTTAACGCTGTAAATCTCAGTTGTTTGATGCCATCACAGATAATATCCTCTTTGGACTGCCCCTAGATGAGCAACGCTATGTCAAAACGCTCGAGGTAAGCCATTATTCTTCGTTTTGGCATGGACCAGAACTGAAGCCCGACGCAGGCTGGCGCTTTAGTAACTGACCTCAGGATTTTGGAAGACGGCGATGAGACCGAAATCGGCGAGAAAGGGATAAACATTTCTGGGGGACAGAAAGCAAGAGGTGGGATCAAGCTTACCTATATGCGATGCACGATCTGCTAACATCTGAATCAGTGTCACTGGCGAGAGCTCTCTACTCTCGAGTGTCCGTGGTATTGTTTGATGATGTGCTATCTGCAGGTAAGCTGCACCTGTTTGATGCCTTGCATCGAAATGTAATGTCATTCATTTTCGATCACAGTTGACGCGCATACAGCACACCACCTCTACCACCAGTGTCTTAAGGGTGAACTGATGTTAGGAAGGACGATCGTGCTTGTCTCGCACCATGTTCAGCTCGCTTCATCCGGCACTAGCTATGTCGTCGCGCTTGACAATGGACGAGTGGTCTTTCAAGGAGATAGAGATGCCTTCCGGTCATCGCCTGTGATGGGCCAGCTATGCCATACCGAGGCGTCTGATGTGAGTAATGAAATGGACGCTGGTGCCAAGGACGAACCAGACACGGTACAGTTCGAGGGAAATCCAAGTAGGACTGATGATGTCACCGAGAGGAGAAACGCTGTCGCCAATGAGCCTCAGTCCGAAGAGTGCTTACCTATCAAGTCACCCCGAAAGCTTGTCGAGGACGAGAAACGGGTGGTAGGCCGGATTGGACGGGACATCTGGAAATTGTATTTTTTAGCTTGCGGCGGTTCGTTATACTGGATGACATTCGTGCTATCCTTCATCATGGGAGCATTGATCCCTCTTGTGGAGAATTGGTGGCTCAAGTGAGTATCTCCCCTGTCCTGCGCACAGCTCTGCAATGATTGTGAGCGACTCCTAAGGCGCGAGCCCCAGAAACCAACAACACCTAAGATCACACGAAGAAGTAGACAACGAAGCCCCAAATACGGGACGACGCCGAGAGGTAAAGCGGAGGCGGAGTAGACTGCTCGCCGACGTGGCAAGACTAGGCGTAGAACTGTAGGAGGAATTCCCACAAGAACTCACTTAGAGCCTTGGGGCGTGAATTGCTCAGACTATATACAAATACAGGTTTGTTTGGTCAAGCCAAACAGACTACCTACTATGGTAATGACTGTGGGTGCACAGACCATGCTGTGTCGTGTACTACTACTTATGGTTAAGGAATGACGTAGGTATGATGTCAGTCATGATGCGTAATTGACGTCATCATGATGTCATATGGAATGTCCGGGAATGTTAGAGAATGATTATATAAGCCGGGTAAGTAAAGTAACCGAGCCGGGTCATGTGACCGGTTATGAAAGTA